TTCGGGCCCAAGGATCTTTTTCTTCTTTTTCGGTGTTTTGTTAATTTTAGTAATCGGCTGAATGCTTGGAAATTCATAGTAAATAGTAGAAAAATCATAAAAATACCAAACTAATTTTGTTAGTCTCCTAAAATCATGATCTATCTATTAGCGTAATTGGTTCATCTAGTTTTAAAATGTTTCTAGGGTTGCTCTAATTATTTTAAAATATTTAATATTGTTAAAATGTGAACTTGTGGGAATTTTTGTGAGAAAATGGTGATAATGTTCACTCTAAAAAATTTATAGTAAATTCCTAATATTATTAACGGTTCACTGTAATTTTTGTAGCTCCAGAATAATTAGTCTGCTAGATAGATAATGATGCCCTATTTCGAATAAAGATTAAATCAATATAATGAAATAAAGAAACACCTTGGAATTGTATAACTAAAACACTTGTTGGAAAATGACACCTTTCTCGATGATGTTGATACAGAGATTAGTACGTTAGTCATTAGAGCTATCTTGTTAGTTTGTAGTATGTACTCTGTTTTAAGAGTTGTTGTTGCCTTGTTAATTAACTGTTGCGTCATCTCTACATCGCATTGCATACCATAATAGGGACGATGATGGATCGTGGAATCAACTGGAGTAGCGGAAAAGATGGTGCCAAGAATCATGTCACGAAGATGGAATGCTAACTTTTGGTTATATTTTACCCAGGCAAGCCCCGTTGCATAACCCTACTTTTCTGCATTAAGTTTAAGGAGTTGAATGAAACCCACTTGCATATATATATCTTTATCCTGTGAGTCTTACTAGTATGACAGAATCGTGTAGAGTGCTATGCTACAGGACTCCGATAGAAGTCGAGTGATTGCCTGTCACTCGCGAGAGATAGGAAATATATTATTGTTGTTACCATATTATTATCACTTGGAATATATATATATATATATATATAATGCTAAATGGAGACCGGGCAGGGATATGGTTTGGGTATTGGTGGGTGTAAGAGGTTGTGTCCTACGGCTAATGGGGCATAGCTTGGTTACATTGTTTCCCTGTCTGAGTCGGTTAAGGACCGGCCGTTGCATTGGGTTCTAGGCAAGTCACAAACTTATTATCCTGAGCACATACTTGTGTATGGGCGCAGAGAAGGCTTGTTGCTCTCTTGTCATGGGTTTCGTCTCTTTCTGGACCGACTTTCAGGGTGGTTTTTAGGTGGAGGTCCAAGCACCGCTCTGAGTTCAGGACTCAGGAGCGAGGGCTTAGAGTCCAAGTTTGGACGGAGACCTGGACCTCGTGACAGGAGACTGGCGGGTTGATTCTGCTTGTGCCTGGGGTACAAGCGGGGCGTGTGTTTTGGGGTACCCAGCTAGGCACATTGATTCGCGAATCGTCGGACGATCCGGTATGACTTGTCTACAATCTAGTACCGTAATAAGAACTGTAAGATGAAAGATGGTAAAAGAATTCTGATTGCTTACCACCTGCTTGAAAGTAGCACATGTGCTTACATAGAATGATTAGTTAATGAACTAATACTGACTGCTAATAAAATTGAATATAAGGACGCACGCTTAGTAATGCTTCCTATAGATGTAATAAACCCACAAGCCAGATAGCCTTGCATACTATTGGAGTCTTTTTCTTTCCTCCTGTTGGGTAAGTCTTGCTGAGTATAATTGAGTACTCAGAGTTTTATTTCCCCCTGTTGCAGGTGACAGGTGGACGCTAGAGCTGACCCTTGTGTGTGGATTCCTCCTGGTGGACTCAGAGAGGATTCCTTTACGCTGCGATCATAGTTTTTATTTATAACTCTCACTAAATGTTTTTATAAATAGAAGTTTTATAATCTATTGTCATAGTTTATATATCAATGATTTATCATGTTAGGAATAGATATTTATTCATGTTTATATTCTGTTGTTAAATTAAATTGTTCATAACTCTGATAACATGATTACATTCCGCTGTTATAACAATAAATATTATACTCTGATGTTGCATGAAAAGTGATGTAAGAAATGGCTAAAATGTTGTAAGCTTTATTCTCTAATTTGTGATCCTGATGAAAAAATGTGGATTTTTAGGTTCTCCCCTGGGGTGTGCTCGACGGAACTACGTAATTTGGTGTGCTCGCTTGAGTACTTAATGTCTAATAGAAGACAGTACTCCTGAAAGGCATTAGATTAGGAGGTTCTGCCACAAACCATGTCTAGGTGCCAATAATGAAACGTTTTCAAACTTGAGGTGCCTGGACCAGACAGTTTTGTAGTTGGGGGTCAAAATTAGACTAATATGATAGTTGAATGGCCAAAAGTGGACTTAATTCTTTCTAACCCAAGCTTAGGCAAGGAATTCAACCAAACAAATGCATCTTGTACTACATAAGCCAGGCTAAAATTGACCAGGCTTAGTTTTGCTAGCCAGGCTTGGCGAGGAAGTGAACCAAACACACCCGTAAAGTCCTTGACATGTCCATCTTTTTATCTTCCTCTTTGTAATTATATAAAAATATGGCCTGATATTACTTTGTATCAGAATTGCAAACAGGAAGTTAAATCCCTTGTGGGCATTGTGTGTTCTCCATGAACTATACTGAAAACAAGAAATGTCCTGTTTAGCATGTTCGTTTATACTTACTGAATTTGTATTCCTGTTTGTCCAGGTGGAACATTTGATAACTTCTGTTTTGCCACCATCCAGCACACAAACAAGTTCTGCTCCATCAATCAACCCTTTCAAGTTTATATGGTCCTATGTTGCGCACCATTTTTTAAAGCGTACTCTCTCCGTCCCAAATTATAAGTCACTCAAACTTTTTAGGAGATTCAAATCATTTTAGATTTGACAAAATTTATGTAATAAAGTAATAGCATTTACGATACCAAATAAGTATCATTAGATTCTTCATTAATTACATTTTCATAGTATATCTATTTGATCTTATAAATCTTTGTAATTCTCTCTCTAATTTTGGTCACACTTGAGATGCTTTGACCCTCCAAGAAACTTGGAATGGCATATACGAATGGCAATGCTAGCACCCGGACATCCGGACGGACGTGCGTGTCCGGACGCCCGTGCCTGTTGCACGCCCACACCAGCGCCTACTGCACGTACAGGCAGGGACCGCCCGCGCCGCTCCCCCGTGCTGTCTTGCTTCCCACGCCCCTCTCCTCCCTGCTGCTCCCTACGCTTCCCTGCTGCGCTGCTCCCCTCCATGCTTGCGGCGCTGCTCCCTTGCTTCCCTTGTGCACGCGGGGACCGCCTGCGTCTCTGCCACCATCCCCCTCCGCTTTCCACGCGCATGCACGGCACCCTAGCAGCTGCAGCAGATGGCTATGGCTGGTGGGTAACATTGCAACATGTGCAACATCAGATCTATTTTTGCAATATCTAAATGAAAACACTTGCAACATATTTCAGAAAACAACTAAAAACTTACGACATACGTCTGAAACACCTGCAAAAACGCCTGAAACACTTGAAAACACCTGTGTAGCCATTTTAAAACATATGCAACATCCAGATAAAACGTTTGCAACATACATATTAAACACTTAAAACAAACGCTTGCAACATGCATGTTATGCAACATTTAGATCTACTTCTCCAACATCTAGTTGAAACACTCGAAACATAGGTTTGAAACACTCGAAACATACGTTTGCAATATGCGTATACTATCATTGCAATATATGTAACACCTCAAATCTACTTTTGCAACATTCAGATGAAACACTGGAAACATCTGTTTGAAACGTTTGAAACACTTGAAACAGCCACGACCTACCTAATGGGGAACTACGGTAGCTAGCAAGGTCGGGTCAGGCGGATGTCGAGAACAACGGCCCAATATACATCCAGGCACATGAGCACAGGCGTGGACCTCCTCCTGGTGGCGCTGGGGTGGTGGTGGCGTGGTGAACGCTGTAGCCATGACAGGCGTGGTGGGATGGGGGTGCAACGCGGGATGGTGTCGCGGCGTGGTGGGGGATGGTCGTGGCAGCGAGGCAGTATGGGCGCGAGCAAGCGGCGCGGCGCGACCACGATGGAGGCAACCAACCGGTGCGCGCAGACAGCGCGGTGGAAGCGATCGCTACGGTCGGGAGTGGGGAAATACTTTGGACTACGTGCAGGAATCGGGGAGGCCAGAGGCCGCTGCCTACGCCAGTTCGCATGTTCAGCAAGCAAACGTCCGGGCGGACGAACACGGGTGTATGCGGAGTAAATTCACGCCATTTGCTAGGATCCATGCCGGCAGCATCTTTGTTCGTGACATCTTGTGTTGCTTCACTTTTAGCCTCTTGAATTATAGACATTTAAACATGGCCATTATTTGAAATCGACCAGACCTGTATGTGGTTTGGCACATATCTAAGGGCAGTCCCAATGAAAAAAACTAGTAGTTTCTATAATATAGGATATTGTACCAAAAAAGTATTGCTTTTCAACCCATGGTTTCTATGAGTAATAATTATTTTCTCTTTCTCTTTCCTAACTCTATCTTCTTCCTCCAATGGGAGTGCGGCACGAGCCCCATAGAAACTGGTGGTTTCTCTCCAATGGCGATTTCATAGTTTCTTGGTGCATTGGGTCAAGAGAAGACCTGGTTTCTTCATGAGAAAACAATTTCTATGATTTTTGTTCTCTTTCTTCATTAACTACGTTGTCATGCCAGCATTTTACCTATGTGGCAAGTTATTTAATGAGAATAGAAATCATCATCAATACACCATTGGAACTGTCCTAAGCCGCTTGATTGTCATGGTTGATTTGGCTATTATTTTTAGATAATTATAATCCTATTTTCCCTATTTGTAAATAGGTTGTTTTTGTCGTATGTGTGTACGAGATGAAAGGAATCTAACGGGAAAACAGTAGCCTCGGTTCCCTAAAAAGTCAATGCGATGCTTGTCCTCCATGCTCCATCAGTCCATCGGAGCCAGTTCCCCGTTGCAAGTACCGAAGTCCGCAGAGTAACAGGAGTAGCACTACACTAGCAAGCAATGGCCGCCGCCCTCTCTTCCGCTCTCCTCTTCGCCGCGCTCCTCGCGGCCGCCCAGTACGTGCTCCGCTTGCTCCACTCCTTCCTCTGGGTCCCGCTCCGCCTGGAACGCCGCTTGCGGCGGCAGGGAATCCGGTGGCCACCGCGCAGCCTGCTCTCCGGCAACGCAGCCGACTACCGCGACTTGCTAGCCGCCGCCAGGTCCGCGCCGCTCCCCTCCTTCCGCCACGGTGGCGTCGTCTCCCGCGCCACGCCGCAGTACGCGGTCTGGCCGGCGCGGCACGGGCGGCCGTTCGTGTACTGGTTCGGGCCCCGGCCGCGGCTGGTGATCTCCGATCCGGAGCTCGTGAAGGCCGCGATGACCGACTCCACGGGGGCCTTTGATAAGGCGGGCGCCGGCGGCAACAACCCGCTCGCCAGGCAGCTCATTGGCGAGGGGCTCACTGGGCTCTCTGGGGAGACGTGGGCGCGCCACCGCCGCGTGATTTCGCCGGCGTTTAACATGGAGAGGGTGAAGGTGAGGAGGTGTTTCTTGAGACTTGGAACATGAAAATTTGTGAGACTCTGATAAATCACACCTGGTAGCTATTCTTTTTTTTTCTATCTCAACAACTAGGGGGTGTATGTCTTGCTAAAATCTTTTGCTAATGTGAGATTAAGTTATTAGTTTTGTGATTGTTTCGTAACAGTATGTGCCAGCGTTCTTTTAACTCATTTATAGAACTACTAGGTTTAGACTTTCAATCAATTTTGCTGAAAACATTAATCCTTAGTAGAACTACTAGGTTTAGACTTTCAATCAATTTAGCTTTTACTTAATTAATATACTTGTATTGAACAAGAACCTTATATGGAACTTAGCATGGCAAGTTAATGTTCATCTGTGGTCAGTGTTTCTTCTTTCTGATTTGCATGGTTATCTGATGGGTGTGCAGCTAATCAAGTATCATTTACCACTGAACTCAATATTTGTCCCTTGTAGGCTTGGATACCAGAAATAGCAGCTGCGGCGTCATCTGTTCTGGATAAATGGGAGGCCGAAGGTGGAAGCCGCACTGAGTTTGAGATTGATGTCCATAAAGCATTCCACACTTTGAGTGCGGATGTCATTTCCTGTGTGGCATTTGGAAGTAGCTACGAGGAGGGAAAACGAATTTTTCAATTGCAAGAGGAACAGATGATGCTTGCTCTTCTTGCAATGAGGACTGTTTACATTCCTGGCTTCAGGTGAGATTGTCTCTTTTCACTGCATTCTTAGGATCCACGCTGTTTAGTGGCAGTGTATAGATACATCATTATATGACCTGTTTCACCATAGGTTTGTACCAACAAAGAAGAACCGAAAAAGGCAGTGGTTAAACCAGGAAATCCAATGCTCCTTGCGCAAATTGATTGAAATCAATGGAACGAAATGCGAGGATTCAAAAAATTTGCTTGGGTTAATGCTATCAGCCAGCAAAGCTGGGAGCGAATACAAAATGGGAATTGAAGAGATAATTCATGAGTGCAAGACATTTTACTTTGCTGGGAAGGAAACAACAGCGAACTTGTTGACATGGGCAACACTTCTTCTTGCATTGCATCAAGAGTGGCAAGTGAAGGCCCGTGATGAAGTTCTTAAAGTGTGCGGAAAGTATGAGCACCCTAATGCGGAGAACCTGAGTGATCTCAAAATTGTGAGTCTATCTATCTATTTGAATATTTCATACATATTTTAGTGCTTGTGAGATGATTTTATGCTGTATTTATGTAGAATATTTCTGTTTGAATGTAATTAGTAAAGCTTTTGCTGTGTTGCCGTGATCAGGTAACTATGGTGTTAAAAGAAACCCTCAGGCTGTATCCTCCAGCTACATTCATCAATAGGACTGCCACTAGGGATATAATGCTTGGTAAACTAGACATCCCGGCTGGCACACGGCTTGACTTCCCTATTATTGCCATCCATCATGACCATGATGTCTGGGGCACCGATGCAGAGGAGTTTAATCCATCAAGGTTTGCCGATGGCAAGAGCTATCACCTAGGTGCTTACTTCCCCTTTGGGATTGGTCCTACAATCTGCGTTGGCCAGAATCTTGCAATGGTCGAGGCCAAGGTGGCACTTGCAATGACCCTTCAGCGGTTTGCCTTTACTGTTTCGCCATCTTATGCTCATGCACCGATGCTGATGTTAACCCTCCAACCCCAGTTCGGTGCTCAAGTTCTTGTCCAGAAGATATGAGCTTTCTACGTGGCAAGTAATAAGGTCATAAGGCTTCTATATCTTTGTGAGTAGTCTGAAGAAGCCATGAGGCCTATACTCCCTTTTTTCAATCCTGTTTGTGAAAGACTTGTATATAGACTTGTTCTCCACAGTAATCTGCCAAAGGCTACAAACACTTGAGCCAAAATGACATGTGTTGTACAAAAACCACATCTAAGAACCTGCATGAATCTACCACAAATACGATTTGTAACTGCAAGCCTCGTCTTTATCTTTTTGGAAGAGAATTTTGTGCTTGGGTTTGTTGAAATTACTGCATCTGTCTGTAAGTGTTGGTCTGTTGTAAGGTTTCTGATTGTCCTTTTAGTTTGTAATTGTAGAAACTGTGAACTATCAAATCAAACCAAATCTCAATGCCGTTAATTATTGCTTTCTTGGCCAAATTTCTTCAGAGAACATTGGCCACCTACAAGTTCCATAATATCCAATGGGATTTCTAGAACAAACCTAGTTTTCCTTTTCGGGAACCTGGCATACTTTAATTTCTGTCAGTTTTTTAGAGGAAGGTAACCTCCCCTCAATTTAGAAGGCGAGACAAGGAAGGGGAGTATTTACAGATTCACATTCGAGCATAAAATCGACCTATCGAGTGAAGCGGTGGAAAATTTTTAGCTTAGCATGTTTTGCTTCCTGTCTTTCTTTCTGTCTCTGACGACTGGTTTCGGACCATTACGCGGCGGCGGCGGTGCCCCCGCTTCTGGCCCCCGCTTTGTCCTTCACAAAAACATCAGGCAAAGGGAGGCATTCCGAAGCCGGCGGTCGGGCCGCACGGCAGACGGAGAGAGAGCTGCAAACCGAGAAGAATTCGATGGAAAGAGACACCCACGCATCTGAAATTCTGAACCTTGCGTACGTGTTGCTGGGCTCATGGGCAGTCATGGCTCCATAGTCCTTTTTTACAATTTGCCTGGTCTTACGCGTCAATGGAGCCCCAGCAGCCGCCGAAGCTCCCGCGTGGCGGCGTCGTCCACGCCTGGCACCGTCGCGTCGTCGGCGACCGTCCTGGAGGAGAACCGTGGCAGCGGCAGCGCCCGCGGCGACGGCGACATGGCGCCGAACGCCGGCCCCGCGTACGCGTCCGCCACCGTCACCTTGGTCCGTACAACGACCTGCCTCGGCACCGTCACCGCCGCCGAGGGGCTCCACCTGTCGCCGCCGCGAGCATCACGGCCCAGGCGCGCCTCCGTCCTCCTCCCGGCGGCGGGGCGCAGCGGCCGCGGCCGCCTAGCGCGGGCAAGGCAGTCGTGCGGGCGGAGCACCTCTGTTCCCATGGCGCTGATGCGTGCGTGTGTAGGAGGAGGAGGGGGGGCGCTTCGGCGAGGGAAGCGTGGGAGGCTTCCACTACACCCCCTCTCCCGGCGCCGGTCGTGCCTAGACGGTTGCTTCTACGTGCTCGCCCCCGTGAGTTCCTCCGTTGCTTTAAAGGCCTCTCTTGCCGGGGTGGCGGGTGGCCGGGTGCCTTTGCTGGCGCACCGCGGAATGGAACGGACGAAGGCGCGGGGACGCAGGGGGGGCTGGCGCCGGGAAGCGCGCACGCGCACCACTTCTTTCTCGGCAGTTCTTGGTCTTCCCCGCGGCCACGGTCCCAGGCCGGTAAGCGGGCTGGGCCTCTTCGTCCATTGGTGGACCAGTCTGTTTGGTTTGCGTCATGAGGCCGTGCAGAATCAACCGATCCTGGTACGGAAGCGAGCCCAGGTGTCTGGTTAGTGTCATATCATCGAATCTTCCGTAAAGTTTTGTGTAGTAATAACTTGGACGTGCCTACGGACATGGACCGTGTGGTTCTGCGAGAAAAGCTCTGGACGAGTCCATTCCATGCTGTTTGACTTGATCTCTAATCAAGGAAAAAGTCCACATTATCTTTCTAAACTTTCGCAAAAGTCTATTTTTTCTTCTTGAACTCTAAAACCAGGCAAAACACCTCCCTAAATTTTTAAAACCGTTCATCTTACCTCCTGACCCTGTTATAAGCGGTTTTGAAGACGATTTTGTCTTTTTCTTTTTTATTTATTTCGGCTCAATCTTTGAAAAATCATAGTAAATCACAGAAAAATCATAAAATAGAAAATCTAATTTTATTGGACTCCACATGAGTAGATCTACACAATGAATATATAATATGGTATGCTTTAGTACAAAGTTTTTGCTATGGCTTTAGATCTATATTTTTCTGTAATTAAGTGAAATAATTCATAGCTACAGTTTTCATGGTCCAATTATGGTGAAATTTTTATGGTGAGCTAATTATTGTATGCTTAAACTGTAGTAAAAATTTCATACTCATTGGATCATGTATAACTTAGTTATAGATTTCATTTAGGTTTATGCTTGTTAAATATAAATAAATCTATAATTAAGCTATACAAGATCGAATGAGTATGAAATTTTTACTACAGTTCAATCATACAATAATTAGCCCACCATAAAATTTTATCACAATTGGACCATAGAAACCACATCTATGAATTATTTCAATTAATTACATAAAAGCATAGATCTAAAGTTATAGAAAAAACTTTGTACTAAAGCATACCATATTATATGTTCACTGTGTAGATCTACTCATGTAAAGTCCAACAAAATTATATTTTTCATTTTATGATTTTTCTGTGATTTACTATAATTTTTCAAAGATTCAGCCAAAATAAATAAAAAAGAAAAAGACAAAATCGCCTTCAAAACAGCTTATAACAGGGCCAGGAAGGTAAGATGAACGGTTTTAAAAGTTGATGGAGGTGTTTTGCCCGATTTTAGAGTTCAGGGGAAAAAAATGGATTTTCACGAAAATTGAGTGAGGTAATGTGGACTTTTTCCTCTAAACAAAACAGTTGATGACACAGGCGGCCCAATAGTTTTTTTTGTGACTGGCCCAGCAGTTAGGCCGGGCTATAAAAGGGAAAAGTTATTTTTAGTTTTCACCCCTCAACTTTTGTTGTCGTATGATTTACTTCTTTCATTTACAAAACCGATTTTTTGATCCTCCCACCTCTCTCAAATTTTTAAAGCTGTTTGTTTTATTTACCCTTGACAATTTTGAGACTAGTATAAAAAGTAAAAAAAGGACAAAATAATCCCTTTGCTTTTTTAATATTATGCTTGCAAAACATGCCCGTGCGTTGTAATGAAAGAAAAACTATCAAATTTTCATGATAAACCATAATGGGAATGATACATATCTATTTATGTCATTATATCCTTTTTATAAAACGTCAAATCTAAATTTATTTTATGATGATCATGATATTCATAATATAAGTTGATGTTGGTAAAAATATAACATCTTATTAAACTTGTGTTGGATTAAGTTACAACATTGATAGATGTGTTTTCTCTGGTTGCAAAGCACTAAAATATTACTATCCATGTGTTGCCTCAACTAAAATATTGAGTTTTGTGACTTTTTTTGGACCCTTAAATATATGTAACTCTAATATGATTAAATATAGCAAGGAGTTAGTTGCCAACTTATTAAGAATTGGTCTATCCACCTATGATTATGACGAGAGACATCTCTAGATTTTCCACGTGGGAGCCCTCTCAAAGCACAAAATATTTAGATGGAAATATATCATAAATTTAATTTTTATACTATGCATGTGTTACCATAATGGAACAGCAAGTTTCGTCACTTTTTTTAGGACCCATAAATATATGTAATTCTAATATCTGGTTAAAGTCAGCAAAGAGTTAGTTACCGACGTATAAAAAGTTCATCGATGATGATGACAGAAGACACCTCAATTTTTCACATCATAATATAAGTTGATGTTGGTAAAAAATATAACATCTTATTAAACTTGTATTGGATTAAGTTACAACCTTGATAGATGTGTTTTCTCCGGTTGCAAAGCACTAAAATATTACTATCCATGTGTTGCCTCAACTAAAATATCGAGTTTTGTGACTTTTTTTGGACCCTTAAATATATGTAACTCTAATATGATTAAATATAGCAAGGAGTTAGTTGCCAACTTATTAAGAATTGGTCTATCCACCTATGATTATGACGAGAGACATCTCTAGATTTTCCACGTGGGAGCCCTCTCAAAGCGCAAAATATTTAGATGGAAATATATCATAAATTTAATTTTTATACTATGCATGTGTTACCATAATGGAACAGCAAGTTTCGTCACTTTTTTGAGGACCCATAAATATATGTAATTCTAATATCTGGTTAAAGTCAGCAAAGAGAGGTTTGCAACATTTATTTAGACTAGATTAGGCAACAAACTGTTTATAAGATTTTAACTCACAGTTTGATTAGTCAAACCACTGGTTTGACCTATATTATAATAAGAATGAGTTTTCTTTCTAACCAAAACTATAATCTATTTTTTATGGAAGGATCAACGGTTCAAAAGACCATACTATTGTATTTATTATTTGTTGTTTACGTTTATGAGAAATAAAATAACAGAGTTGAGTTCAAGAAGGAAAATGGAAGAAGAAGAAAAAACACCAGATAGAAAACTGAGCGTAGTCGGAATGAAGAAACAACGAAAAGAAGAAAACACCAACCTAAAAATAATGGAAAAAGACAAAATACCGGACTAAAAGACGGAGTCGGAATGGAGAAACAATGAAAAGAAAAAAAAACACCAAACTAAAAAACAACGAAGAGAAGACAAAAAGGCCAACCTCCAAGCAAAGTCCGAACGAGAGTCCAAGCGGAAAACAAGAGGCTGAAAAACCCGGACACAGAGCAGCCGGAAAAAAAGCAGTAAAAGGCGGGCAACAAAAAAAAAAAAAAAGGTAAAGTCCACTTTAGGACCTCCAACTATCACAGAAGTATGGATTTCAACCTCCAACTTCAAAAACCGGATAACATTAGCCCTCCAACTCTCGAAAAAAAACCCGTTTTTACATGCAGCCTGATGGAAAAGTAATGACGTGGATATCTTTTTATTCGGAGCTTTAAATATAGCAAATAATATATCAATTTTGATCGAGAGCTCTTTGCAATGGTGTACTCCGTTTTGTTGTTTGAGATAATTTTATTTCATGAAAAAAATAAATATTTCTACAAAACAAGTTAGAATAACAGAACTGGGAATTTGTTAGATAAATAATATTTTTATTATTATGTAACACGAAATGTTGTCTTTTAGGTTCATTTGACCATAGAATATATAAGTTTGACCATTTTTGAAATGCAATAATTCAAAACTTGTTTTGTAGAAATATTTACGCTTGTGTCCGCTCGGTCCGCAAATATTTCTGCAATAAAAATATTTATTTCGCAATAATTCAACAATATTGAAATAATTCAACAAGATGCGCAAGACGACTTACGAAGCTGTCGCTTGCCACCTCGCCACCTCGTCGCCGCCGCCGAGCGCGAAGCGCGCTTGACGAAGCAACGCCGACGCCACGGAGATCCTCGCCGGACGACCTTCACTGCAAGAACGCAACTCAACTTACCGATGCCGCACAAGATTCTAGACCACGAGTAAGCCACTCACTATTGACCGCTCCCTCAATTCAATCTAGCTATCCACCGCCACTTCATGCGGTCATACTCATGCCATGCCAACCAAGAAGATACGTGCATTGTGTTTCCGAATGGTCGTCCGGTTCTGTGTCTTTGCAATAGTAGCCATAGGAAAGAAAAAAGGACAGGTGTACATGAATCGTATACTATATCGGATTTGGGTACAAGATAAATATAATACTACTACTACCACTAGCTACTTAATTTCACCACAAAAAATGTAAAAAAAAACTACACTAGGAGCGATAAACATATCGTTTGATCGTGTCATATGTTGACAGCTAGTTAACCGCAGACTAGGGAAGGTTAATTCAAAAATATCTAAGCGATCGTGGCGTGTCCGATTGACCGTCCAACTCCCTGTTTTATATAATCGACTACATTGGTGTTGTACATATATAAATATACAAAGTATATAAAATACTTGCATACGTCGACAATTAATTGCATAACTTGTTTTGTAGAAATATTTATTTTTTCATGAAATAAAATTATCTCAAACAACAAAACGGAGTACACCATTGCAAAAGAGCTCGTCGAACGATCAAAATTGATATATTATTTGCTATATTTGGAGCTCCGAATAAAAAGATATCAATTTTGCAAATTAAAAAGAGTCTTGATTCATCGCTGACGTCAAGATCTGCTATAATGCCATGCAAAACCGCTTTTAAAACGCCAGGGTCCTAAAGTGAACTTTTTCGAGAGTTGGAGGGCCAATGTTATCCGGTTTTGAAGTAGGAGGTTGAAATCCATACTTCTACGATAGTTGGAGGTCCTAAAGTGGACTTTACCAAAAAAAAAATGAGAGGCAGACTGGATTTTGAGAATAGAATGGATATGCTTGGGTGTTGGAGTGTTGACAGAATTGAAATATTGAAAAGATGAGCAAGACATCACTGATGCAAGATTACAAGTATTGGCAAAATTGCTAACCTACTACTTCCTCCATTTCTAAAAGGATGCAATTCTGGAATAGTGTCAAATTCTAGTATATAAAATTTGATCAATTATAGATAAAAATATATAAATATTTATAATATCAAATAAATATCATCAGATTAGTTACGAAATGTAATTTCATAATAAATTGATTTGAAGCTATAAATATGAATACTATATACTAGAAGAAACTTGGTCAAATATGAAGCACTTAAACTGGCACGCAACCCATAATTGCATCTTCAGAGGTAGTGTTATTTTCAGAATTTTAACATGCATCATTTTCTATTTATATATTTTATATTAAAAAATAGCGAAACGTTTCCGCTCTTATCAGAGTTTTTTTTGAACAAAAATTCTTGTATCCACGAATCCATATGCGTCCAATACTGATAGACGTACCATGCTGCGTAAACTGTAGCCACTCGCGCGGCAGAGCCCAGGAGGCCGGAGCTCTGGATCAGGCTCTCTGGGTCTTCCCGCATTGCCTGGAGCCAGGAGCCTCGTCGTCCGGAGCCACAGGCCGCGAGACGGGATAAGGTGAGCAGCCGCTGCGATGGGGGCGCGTGTGAACCCCGTCGCTCGACGCGGACGGTATAAGACTAAAGGCAACTAAAGGAATTCCGCGCTCAACTTTCCGCGAGCTCTCACTCTGCCTCGCGCGCGCGCTCCCGCCACACACGCACGTTCGGTTCGAGCTCCGTTGGAGCTCGGCAGCCCACGCGGACAACAGCCAACAGCGCTAGCTCCGGTCACGTAAGCAGCTCTCCGCTCTCTCTCTCCTTGCTCCATATGATCATCGTGCACGAGCTAACGCGCATGGACTTCTGCCTTTCTTCCCTGGCAGGAGGAGGGGAGCGGAAGGATGGCGGCGTCGGTTTCCGGGGCCACCATCTGCCTTCAGAAGCCTGGCTCCAAAGGCAGGAGGGCCAGGGATGCGACCTCCTTCGCCCGCCGATCGGTCGCGGCGCCGAGGTCCCCGCACGCCGCCAAAGCGAGCGTCATCCGCTCCGACGCCGGCGCGGGACGGGGCCAGCATTGCTCGCCGCTGAGGGCGGTCGTTGACGCCGCGCCGATTGCGACGAAAAAGGTATATCTTGCAGCTCTTAGAAACTGAATTCGCGAGGCATTTTATTGGCCCACATGTTGCCATGGCATGCATGGCCGCATGCATGGGTACGTATTACTAGGGGTGAAAACAGACAGAGAAACGCGTAAATACGGATGAAAAGCTGGAAAATTAAATTAAAATCACATAATTTAACATTTTCAAGTACGCACATATAAACTCACACAAAAATATACACGTAAAACAGGTCTAATATTCACTTGCATGTCATGTGTGTTATTAACATGCATATTTGGTGATTAATAGGTATATTAGCCTAACGTAAGGACATGTGATTGTTACACATATCACACGTAGATTGAAAACGGGATAAATACAGGTCCATCCCGTATTAAAACAGAATTCCGCAAAAATGAACAGAAAAATAGTCTATCCTAATTTCACATATTTAGAACAGGATCTTGCAAATATAGAAATAGGACAGGATTTCCGTCCGTTTTCATCTAGGTACGTATACACACACCATCACTAAGTCGATCCCGACATCGAGCGCGAGCTCATGTCTTCCCACCGATGTCAAGGCCGGTGTCCTCATAAGCGTGGAGGTGAATAAGTATTCTCTGAAATGCTTATTTCCGAGCTCACTAACATTTGGACAATTCCAACCTGGTGAGCAAGCCGGTGTCTCCATGACTAAGGGTCTGTTTAGATCCATTAGCACTAAAAATTAGTAGCTAAAATTATTACTAATGGATCTAAATAGACCTGCTAATAAACTTGTTAATTATTAGCTGGATGGTTGCTAACTATTAGTTATATTAGCATGTTTGGAGTTGCTAATAGACACTAATTGTTTATATCCAGCTTTAACCCACTGTCCAACCTGCCCTAACGCTAGCTGCCCACCAGAGGGTTCGATGTTTCCATTTCGTTTTGCTTGGGCCGGTTTGGGGACCGTCCCGTTACGTTACAGTTACAGCATCTTTGGTCCTTGTGAGCACCTTTGGTTCAATTTAAACCCAATTATTAGATGGCAGACCAAACAACTGTTGTAGGCTAGTCCAGTCAACTTAGGATACTAAGATACTCCCTCCCTCAACTAAATTGGAGGCCGGTGAGGGCCTTTTAACACTGTTCGGTTACTGTGAAACACTGTTCACAACTGGACTCAACACTGTCCACTGTTTACACTGTTTATGCTAGTAGATTGCAAGAACTCCCAAACATAGTGTTGGAATTTTTGTTCAAAACATTCAATTTTTCATAGGAATAAGATCTTCCTTTTTTACTCCAAACGTGGGGACTAAACTAGACTAGAGCATTTTGGGCTTGGCCCGCAATTGGTCTGGCCAAAAAAAGACCCATAAGGTAGGCCCATTCAAGTTGTTGGAGGTGTTTGGGTAAGGAAAACGGGCATCAAACAAATTTGGTTCATCCCAAATCTAGCATGAGTGCACATTTCTTTTATTTCTCGTAGTGTAATGTAGCCGATGGCCTGAGCCCAACCCAAGCCCGGTTCAAATAGAGGGCTCAACTCAATCATGTCAAATGCGGAGTGAGTTTTTTCTCAACTCAAGAGCATCTCCAATAATTCTAAAAAGTAATTAGTAAATTAATGAGTTTTCTAAGTGGCTAAAAAAGTTAGAAACATATTTGTTGGGTTCTCCAACCGCTTCCAAAATCTCACTCCTAAAAGATAGGGGATAGTTTTGCATCAGAAGTTCTAAACTATTTTCAAATCACCCTGACCATCATCATTCTGTATTGCGAATTATATCCTTAGTCCTTATTCTTCTCTTAGTTCCCTACGTCCTTCCCTTCCACATCCAGATTGGCTGATACGCGCACATATATTTTTCGGGCGATTGGATATCGAAATATAGAATCATCTATTCCAATATCTTGCTAGCTAAAAATGAAGAGCAATGATGTTCATGTTCAATCAGAACTGTCAACTGTTCCATGCTTTGGAAACCTTAATTTTTCTAATAGAGTACATGTATGACGCACACAACCCACACTCTACACGCACACACTAGGGTTTAAACTCTAATGAGTAGCGTACCACCGGACTGTCTACCAATAGATCAGTGGCTCTTTCACTTTGGAACTTTTATTATAACAAGACAAACTGCCGCACGACTATCAATATATAGAGTGATGCCGCCTATTTTGTAGTGACACTAATTAGCTTAGGTAAGATTTAAGAATGAGATAAACTGTGGGCAGTACGTCCATGCCCATGGTTTTCGCCAAAACCAGACGAGCACACGATGCTATCATGCTACAACTACAACTCTGGTCACGCAAGCATTTTTCCATGGTTCATTCAGTACATCCGCACATACATCAAGAATGTGAACGGAATCGAGTATGGAATCCACGGATCGGAATGGATAGACAGGGGCGCCATGAGATCAGGTGCACCTTGGCATCCTAGCAATTTGATTATTACGGTAGGCAAGATCGCTCGACCATCCGGCAAGTGGCCTCACTGATCTCTTGTGATGACGCAGCAAAACCAAGAATCGGAAGTACCTTTTCTTTTCCCCTATCTATCTACGCGGCTAAATCCAAGAAATCACGGGGCCTTTTGTTGGTTCAGCAAGGTTCGCTTCACTTGGCACAAGACAATCAAGTGACTGGGGACATGTTTATACGGCGCATTTTTCTTTGCCCGTTCGTGCCAATGACACACACACACACACACAATGGCATCTTCACCTCCCCCACAAATTCTACCGACAATAATCAGGGGCAAATTCTGGCTTCAAATAGAAGCAGCCATTTAATTAGTAGCAATAATGGTGGCAGGCAGGCATAGAGATGCCGATGAGAGGTACTCCTACTCGTAAATAAATTTCTACGGTTTGTCTTGTCACAGTTATGTCCAGTGTTTGTCTCCCATGACTTTCAAGTTTCAACTTCACTGATGCGTTTGCGATGAGGTCATGTAGGGATCCTAAGGTCATGGCCTCACAGGACCCATAAGCCCATAGGAGCAAACTCCAATTATGACTTTATATCCTTCCCAATTTATATAGATTTTGGTGAAAAATATACCCTACAACACCTTCTTTATTTAGATCTTCAAACATAAACATTCTTTGTTTTGGATTTCTCACTAACCAAAGATGGAGAGCGATGTTGGCTCTCTAGAGTGCGCACAAGATGTGGAGAACCTATTAGAGTGTGAAAAGATATAGAGAGCGATTTTTATTCAAATGATTCTCCAATTAATGATTTAGAGAGTTAATTCAAGAGAGACTCTTGGAAATGTTCTAAATTCTAATGCTGACGTATGTTAAAATGTATACACCATTGTAAATGATAATTCCGCTTAAAAAGAGGCACTACTCATATCCCCATCCCAATTTTTTTATGGGAAGAGTGGAGGAGGCCATTTCTAGGATTATGCATGGATTATCATCAGATGCAAATATTTCGTTAAAAATTATTAGACAACTGTACGTGGGATGTAAATCTGTAATTGCATTGCTCCGGTGTGGCAATGCAAATCCACTAACCCGTAAGGCAGCGGATAACATTTAAAAATGGGATTTGCTATATTTTAGATGTCTAAAATATAGTGGGTTTTCAGACAACAGTGATAACTAGTACTAGTATTCTCTCATGTGATCAACATAGTAATTTCTACTAGCAGGTTCATGAACATTTAGATGGATCGCCTAAATGTTCAGGCGACTGAGAGGGAGGAAAAGTGTTTAAAAATACATTCTTGTCAACCGGGAAGCTCATTTTGAGTTGCCCCATTTGATTACAACATGGAACACGTTTTGCAAATAGTTTTTTTCTCTGGGATAAGATTACCTAGCGATCTAGTTTTCGAAATTTTTCAACGGACGCACTCCGTTTTTCCGTTGTCATACATAGCGGTCCACCTCATTCATTCACTGATAGGAAGCTCCGAACGGCGTACCACCGCACTCTCTTGCCCAACTGAATCGACGGCGCGTCAGTCACGTCTTGTACAACCTGATGGTGACGGGCATGGGCATGAATTTGCTCCACTCCACCATGTTTAGCCCTGTTTAGCTAGTGTTTACATAGGAGAATTCGGATAAAAATTGTGAGTGACAGCCCAAAAGTTTATAACCATTATTTACTGTGTACCGTGCAACACATGGATGGATGTGGGTCGTGGGCAGCGTCCTTTACCAAGCCACGCCGCAGAGCGACTCGCAGCGCGCTCGTGCGGGCGCGTGCCAACGACAGCCAGCCATCCGTGCGCTCTCCCTCTCCCTCCTCGTGGCTTCTGCAGTTGCCCCCTTGTCTGGCACATGGACGGACGCACGGTGCTCTGCTTCTCGCGCGAACGCCGTGACGGCACGGGGGTACGGGAACGGGACGGGATACCAGGCGGAGACAGACGCACGGCCGCGCGCCCGGCCGCGGGTTTGCGGAAGCTAGCGTCTAGCCGCCGGTGCTGCTCTCTCCTTGCCCGCCGGGCGCCGGATGGTTGTCGCGGCGTGCGTGCGTCACCACGCGCACCCAATCGCGTGCGGTAACTGTATGCGACGAAGCTGAGGGTGAGACTGGATCGTGGATAGTTAAACATAAGAGCAAATGCGATACTAGGTTGTAAGCTGGCTAAATATTGATGTGGAAGAGAGATGGGAGAGAAGAAAGAAGAGAAGCGGGCTATAAGAAGAGAAGAGAGAAGAAAGAAGAGAAGTGAGTTGTAAGCTTACAGCCAGCTTAGACATAAGAACCGAAAAACTTTAAGAGAGACAAGTGGACTATGTATTAATAATGAAGAACTAACTACTATGAGCCTGTTCGGCAGGACTAAAAATACTGTTTCGGTGATTGTTGTGAGAAAAAAATACTATTCTAACAGGACGTGAATAATGATTTTGTGAGGTAGTTGGTCAGCCGACAATCAGCCAGCCAGCCAACCAAACAGGTGGGCTAAGAAAAGTCTATAAAGATCCTTACCGGCAAGATTATTAGTCTTACTCTAACTAGTCTTGAGTATTTATTAGAAGTGCATTTGCACCCCTAAATTATACTAGCTTCGCCCTGAGCGCGTAGCGTGTCAAGACAGGCCCCGCGGCCGGTGCGCCGCACTGGTAGTACTACAAGACTCGAAAAATTACAGTACAGAAGCACACACGCGCAGAACCAACTAACTGTTGACCAGTGCAATAGTCTCAGCCCAGCCTACTACTATCCACCAACGCCCTGTTCGCTTGACTTATAAACCGTACTTTTTCAATCAATAAACAATATTTTTTAATAACAAATCAGTCAACGGTATTTTCATCCAAGACTTATCCACCAAACGAACGGGGCACAAGCAAGCAGTTACTATTGTGCCGATGAAGACACATATATACAGACACACGTGTAAACTCGTCCGCGCACGTTGCAAACCAAGCAGTTACTATGGACTCACTTCCAAAAGAACCGTTTTTCTCATCTATTGCTGCTGTCCAGCAACTCGTATACCTCAAGTGACGTCGTCAACAGTCAAGAAACGATCAGATTGCACGTATGCTCCTGATGCGAAAAGACGATAATTTAAATAAAAGGGCCGGGGGATATAATCCTTGCCGAGATCAGGGACGTGCGTGTAGCTGAGCTGCGATCCCATCATCGTCTAACGCGGACGCAACGACGACCCATCCTGACACGACGAACAACGCTATCCGCTCAACCGCTGCGCTTGCTTGCGCAGCCATGCCATGGCCATGGCCTGCCGGCGTGTGCTTGACAGGGGACTCCGATCCGATCCGGCCTTATCTTACTGTATGTGCTAGCCAAATCAAAGTACTCCAGTGTAGATCGGAACGCCACCCACCACTCGCGAGACACAAGTCTCAGCTCTCAACAAAGCTAGAAGACTAGAAGTGTAGCCCCATTCGCTTGGCTGATAAGCCATGGTTGAAAGTACCGTTGACTGATTTGTTGAGAGAAAAATGTTATTCATTGGTTGAAAAAGTACGGCTTATAAGCTAAGTGAACAGAGCAGTAGTTGACATGCCATTTACTGACCATCGAGTTTGATTTTTCAAGCTTCACAATAATTTTGTTGCAAAAAAAAGAATATTCCCCACACTAATTTTGTTTATGAAGAAGAAGAAGAAGACAAAGATAAAGATGCTGACACTAATTTCACATTACTACTAGTTTTCTTACACTCGATTTCATTCGGAAAAGGTTAATTAAACAGTGTGCGCAGCTAGGGGTGTTTTGGAAAACAAATCAAATGAAAACCACCTGCACGTATATACGAAAGCAAGCAGTGCACACATCAACTAGTTTGTCCTGGATGAAACAGAAAGGGGCAGGCACTGTAGGTAAGGCACGGCAGTGGCTTTTACAAGCATGGTGATGATGTGGCCGCGGCGGGCGTCCGGATATGTATGCTCGCTCGATCTAGTTAGCTGGGGCATGCGTGTGTTCACTTGCTTGACACCGTTTCTAACTTTGCCAACAACAACTACTTCTACTAGTATAATATACGTGTAAAGCTCATCCAGTCATCCGAACATGTTGATAAACAAAAAGTCATCAGAACATGGATTTTTGCTCAACCGATTTTGTGCCCAAATATCCCGCCTTTTATTGTTTACAAGGGGCTCCCCCTGGGTTTGTGAATGAGAAAAAAAAAGTGTTAAATGCTTGCAAGTTTTGGGCTGCTGATGCACACGCTTCCCCTGTCACGTCACTCGAGGCGCCAGGCTCGGGTGCCGCCGCCGCTGCTATAAATAGAGCCCCGGGGCAGGGCCCTGCTTCATTCATCAGTCACACACAGCGGTTGTTCTGTTCTGTATTTGTCACTGATCAAGTGATCAGCACTGCTAGTGTTTGTTTGCCGTGTGCTAATGGCGCCCGCTCAATGTGACCGTTCGCAGAGGGTGTTCTACTTCGGCAAGGGCAAGAGCGAGGGCGACAAGAGCATGAAGGAACTGGTGAGATCGAAGTTTTTCCTTCTCTTCTTTGATTGATGATGACGATGCATGCTACTGCTGTTACATACGTACGTACTGATGCATGATGGTGATGGTGTGCACGCGTGCAGCTGGGCGGCAAGGGCGCGAACCTGGCGGAGATGTCGAGCATCGGGCTGTCGGTGCCGCCGGGGTTCACGGTGTCGACGGAGGCGTGCAAGCAGTACCAGGACGCCGGGAGCATCCTCCCCGCGGGGCTCTGGGCCGAGATCCTGGACGGCCTGCAGTTCGTGGAGGAGTACATGGGCGCCACCCTCGGCGACCCGCAGCGCCCGCTCCTGCTCTCCGTCCGCTCCGGCGCCGCGGTGTCCATGCCCGGTATGATGGACACGGTGCTCAACCTGGGGCTCAACGACGAGGTGGCCGCCGGGCTGGCCGCCAAGAGCGGGGAGCGCTTCGCCTACGACTCCTTCCGCCGCTTCCTCGACATGTTCGGCAACGTCGTGAGTATTCCTTCTACTACCTGCTATTGCACGCAGCTAACACCGCGCCGCGCGCGCTGACTCAGCACCTCGTCGGTTCCATTTCCGTCCGGTTCTTGTTACTGCTACTACTTGTCCCACTAGCCAGAGGGATGCCTAGTTTTGCGCGCATCGCATCGACGACCCATCCTCCGTCGCTGCCTGGCCTGGCTGCGCTTGCGGCCGCCGGCCGGATGGGTCCACCAAGGCTGGAGTTTTTGTCTGTTTGCCAGGCCAGGTAGGGCCAGCCGTCGTATCCTTGGGTTAAACGAACGTGGTTGGGGCCTTGGGCCTTGGGGATTGGATTATTCGGCCCGTCAGGCCAGTCATCGTGCGCGATGTATATCAATTAAAAAAAACGCGTTGGTGTTCCTCAAAAAAAAAAAAAACGCGTTGGAGACAGCGATTGGACTAAGTGCTCCTCTTGTTTTAGCACCAGTATATACTAGGAGTATTTTCCCAGTTGCAAATTATAGCAAACTTGAGCTTTGGTCTAAATAAAATTTCTTTAGTTTTAATCATTTTTTTTAGAAAAGTGTACTAACATCTACAAATTCATGGCAAATTTTATGAAGATTTAAAAAAAAGATAATTTAATGTTGTGGATGCTGGTCTAGTTTTTTTTTTTTTTTTTTTAAAAGCTAAACTACTTTAACAGTTCCATGACCTGAGGAACATGTTTTTGTCACACAAATGCAAATTGATGATGTAAAAAAAGGGGACTTTTTCAGAAAAAAAACAAAAGGTGAACATAGTTTCGTCAGATGAAAACCAAACCTTGTAGGCCAACGCGCACAAATGAATGTATATTCCTGCGCAGAATTAACGTAGAGGTCGTTGTCAGTGTTGAAGCTCACGCTACGAACTAAACAGACCATATATAATACGGCATTTAAACTTGGTTTGTCGGACTCGAGGAAATAAAGAACGATGACTCAAATTGCTCTCATCAGATTTTTGTTTTTCCAATGTAGTAACTGCTGCTTCACGTACGGGTCCTTTTTTATTGTTTGTTTATTTACCGGCCAGGTCATGGACATTCCCCGCTCACTGTTCGAAGAGAAGCTTGAGCACATGAAGGAATCCAAGGGGGTGAAGAATGACACTGACCTCACTGCCGCTGACCTCAAAGAGCTTGTGGGTCAGTACAAGGAAGTCTACCTTACAGCTAAGGGAGAGCCATTCCCCTCAGGTACCCGCAAAAACGCATGCAGTTCCATCCATCCATCCTCAGTCACTCAGCAGCGTCTGTATGAAACAAGTCTCCTGATCGATACTGAAGCTGTTTTCCTTGTGCAGACCCCAAGAAACAGCTTGAGTTAGCAGTGCGGGCTGTGTTCAACTCGTGGGAAAGCCCGAGGGCAAAGAAGTACAGGAGCATTAACCAGATCACTGGCCTGGTAGGCACTGCCGTGAACGTGCAGTCCATGGTGTTTGGCAACATGGGCAACACTTCTGGTACTGGCGTGCTCTTCACTAGGAATCCTAACACTGGAGAGAATAAGCTGTATGGCGAGTTCCTGATCAATGCTCAGGTATATATGACCTCAGTCAGGCTTCCATCCATTGCTTGATCCTGTTCATACATGAATACTCCTGGTCAGGATGTTCCCTTTGTTTTACTACCACATTACTTGACACATGTCCTGGTAAACGAAACATGCATGTTGTGGAGTCAAATAATGAATTTGCGTCATACAATTTGCTTCCTATATATTCAGGGTGAGGATGTGGTTGCTGGAATAAGAACCCCAGAGGATCTTGATGCCATGAAGGACGTCATGCCACAGGCTTATGAAGAGCTAGTTGAGAACTGCAACATACTGGAGAGCCACTACAAAGAAATGCAGGTACATTAGCATTTGTGCCTTGAGATTCTGCGAGACGAGGTAGTACTTCTACTTCCTTTGGCTATGAACTCAGCAGGCTGACTTGGTTTTTGTTGCGTGTGTGATGCAGGATATCGAATTTACTGTTCAGGAGAACAGGCTGTGGATGTTGCAGTGCAGAACAGGAAAACGTACAGGCACAGGTGCCGTAAAGATTGCTGTGGACATGGTTAGCGAGGGTCTTGTTGAGCGCCGTCAAGCGATTAAGATGGTAGAACCAGGCCACCTGGACCAGCTTCTTCATCCTCAGGTAATCATTTGTAACAATGAACAGCTTATCAAATCAATGTGTGTGTCCTAGATGTATGTATATTAAGTAGTAGTTGATATGCATGCATTGATACCGGTTTTTTCCCCCTCTCTCTTGTCTTATGGAATACCAGTTTGAGAACCCAGCGGCATACAAGGATCAAGTTATTGCCACGGGCCTACCAGCTTCACCTGGGGCTGCTGTGGGCCAGATTGTGTTTACTGCTGAGGATGCTGAAGCATGGCATGCCCAAGGGAAAGCTGCTATTCTGGTAAGGGCGGAGACCAGCCCTGAGGATGTTGGTGGCATGCACGCAGCTGCTGGGATTCTTACAGAAAGAGGTGGCATGACTTCCCATGCTGCTGTGGTCGCTCGTGGGTGGGGAAAATGCTGTGTCTCAGGATGCTCAGCCATTCGTGTAAATGATGCTGAGAAGGTGAGTTGAATTCTTGTTTGCGCATGCTCAACTAATCATCCTTTGTTATGCAGAAGCCAAAACATGCTGAGAAGTAAAAGTTTGTAGTGAGATTGTGATATAGATGCTTACTTTGCTATGTTTATATTTATAGACTGTAGCGATTGGAGACCATGTGCTGAGCGAAGGCGAGTGGATATCGCTGAATGGATCAACTGGTGAAGTGATCCTTGGAAAGCAGCCGCTTTCCCCACCAGCCCTTAGTGGTGATCTGGGAACTTTCATGTCCTGGGTGGATGAAGTTAGAAAGCTCAAGGTAAAATCTCAGAAATACTAACCAATATGTACTAGTATTAATCAAAACACAGACACAATTTTCTTTTTTTGAAGTTCAAACCAGCTAAAAAGGCTATTGGGTTTATCTATTTAGATAGGTCATTAAAGCTAGCTAACCACATTACGCAGTTTTCATCAGAAATGAAATGATTGTTTGTGCATATGTTCTAGGTTCTGGCTAATGCGGATACCCCTGAGGATGCATTGGCTGCACGGAACAATGGGGCACAAGGAATTGGACTATGCCGGACAGAGCACATGGTATCTATTTAGTACTTGGTTATAGTTACATCCAACATATTTTGGCTAGGATACGGACATTTTACTCTTTCTTTATTTAATTTCTTTGTTCTAGACAAGGAAAATAGTTTCATGTTTTTCTTTCCCCTGTACTTTGGCAGTTCTTTGCTTCAGATGAGAGGATTAAGGCTGTAAGGCAGATGATTATGGCTCCCACAGTTGAACTGAGGCAGCAGGCACTTGATCGTCTTTTGCCTTATCAGAGGTCTGACTTTGAGGGTATTTTCCGTGCTATGGATGGTAAGTGAAAATCACAATGAATGCAAGTGTTATATGCAACAACATGTTCCATAGAAACAGATATCAGAATATATAACTAAATTAGGCTTGAACATAAATGATAGCTACTCCAGGGTCCAGACTGTATTTTATTTTGAAGTGCAGGACTGGTTTGAACTTTCATGTTTGCGTTTCAGGACTTTCGGTGACTATTCGACTTCTGGACCCTCCCCTCCACGAGTTCCTTCCAGAAGGGAATGTTGAGGAAATTGTGCGTGAATTATGTGCTGAAACGGGAGCCAATGAGGAGGAAGCCCTTGAACGAATTGAAAAGCTTGCAGAAGTAAATCCAATGCTTGGCTTCCGTGGGTGCAGGTTGGTTTTCTGCTATTCTATTCACAGAAGAAATCAGTTTCCACCCGTGCCTGATCCATTTAGTTGTGTGTTCTCTCTGTTCTTTTATAGCTGCATTTTTATGGAGTATTTAGCAGGTTTTCTTGTTAGTGAAATATTGAGAAAGAACAAAGTCACTATACATTAATGTATACCTTGACTAATGTTGGAACTGCCAAAATTTTCAGGCTTGGTATATCATACCCTGAATTAACAGAAATGCAAGCCCGTGCCATCTTTGAAGCTGCTATAACAATGTCCAACCAGGGTGTTGAAGTTTTTCCAGAGATCATGGTTCCTCTTGTTGGAACACCACAGGCATGCATCTTCTTTATTTTCGTATTAATGTATAATATAGTATCTCTGCAGTTCAAAATGACAAAATCCATTTGATGCCAAAATTGCATAAACAACTAATTTCTGTACACATGTAAGTTTCGTTTATCTGGTCACTTACACCCAGTTTGTCTTCCACCAAATTCATTTTCTTGAAATACTTTTTCATATTCTAAGTTTGTTACAGTGACCTGAGTTTCCTTTAGACAACTGACATTTGATATTTCCAGGAATTGGGACATCAAGCGAATGTTATCAAACAAGTTGCTGAGAAAGTTTTCACCAGTATGGGTAAAACTATTGGCTACAAAATTGGAACTATGATTGAAATTCCCAGGGCAGCTCTAGTGGCTGATCAGGTAGGAAACAACTAGCTCCCTTATTTCAGAAAATTTAAAATATGACTATTTAGATTGGCTTTGTAGATTATATTTTAAATGAATTGGTTAGTAATAAAACCCTCAGAATCACCCAAAACTTGTGAAGAAGTTTATCTGCACATTCCTATGCTAATTTGAAATCTGTCATTGTTGTTTTGGTTTCACAACCTGGCAGATAGCAGAGCAGGCTGAGTTCTTCTCTTTTGGAACGAACGACCTCACACAGATGACTTTTGGCTACAGCAGGGATGATGTGGGAAAGTTTATTCCCATTTACCTGGCTCAGGGTATCCTCCAACATGACCCCTTTGAGGTAACTGTTGCAACTCTGTCACCCTCTCATCTGAGGTCATACTTGTATTTTTCTAACATTTACAGATGTGAGCATCTCATGTCGTCTTGGTATTATGCATATCCCCCCTGACTTTTGAATGTCCTTAAACTTATCAGGTTCTCGACCAGAGAGGAGTGGGCGAACTGGTTAAGTTTGCTACAGAGAGGGGCCGCAAAACTAGGCCTAACTTGAAGGTTAGTTTCTGGATCTGTGGACATTACTTCGTTTCCTTAGAAACCATGGTTTGATTGTTTGGTGTTGTATGTAAACAGGTGGGCATTTGTGGAGAACATGGTGGAGAGCCTTCATCAGTTGCTTTCTTCGCCAAGGCAGGGCTGGATTATGTTTCTTGCTCCCCTTTCAGGTTGGTCAAATGATAAAATCATGATCCAATCCAAGAAGTATATCTCTTTACATCCCGGTTATGTTAACGGCAGCAAAATCTTAACTGTTTTTTTATATATGAAATACCTTCTGCAGGGTTCCGATTGCTCGGCTAGCTGCAGCTCAGGTGCTTGTCTGAGGGCTTGTCTGAGGGTCCCTCTCATTCGCAACCGGATCGCATGCTGTTGGTGCATCTGCCATCTGGTGATTAATAATATTGTTACAGATCCATGATCTGTGAAGATTATTAGTAGCAGGGCTCATACAAGCTAAAATTACATCTCTTTTTGCAGTTATGTAAAACTTTCAACTGTTTATGCTCAAAAACGCTGTTCTTCAATGGATCATCAATTATCAATTATATATGTGTCAAGGGTTTTTCTTTCTCCTTTTTTTGTTTTGTTTTTTTGGTGTGTGTTTATGGTTTTCTTGGTGTGTGAGGTGTGCATGTCGTTGTTGAGGCCATTGCTGCACAATGTCGTTGTTGAGGCCATTGCTGCACATACCATACCACCTATTGAGGCCGCCTCAAGTTAAGCCTCGAAAAAGCTGATATTTTGTAGAACTCTGGACTCTGGTGAATGCAACTGACTGGTTTGCTACTGAGGCTCTTCGTGTATTCATGCAAGAAGCTAAAGGAATGATCTATAACAGCAGAACCCCCTCTTCCAAAGTGATCGTTCCTAAGCCCTGACGTGTGTTCAGTGTCTTTTTTTTCCCAAATTGTGCGCCAGTTATAAATCACAAAAATTGGCTGATCATGAGTTGTTACCACTGAACTGTAAAAATAATGTGTCATTCGACCGTGAAGGTTGTGGGTTTCAAGCAAACGGTAGTTGCCATTGCACTCAAAATAACCAAGCATACATCTGGCAGTCGTGCGCCATTAACAACCTGACTCACAGATTGGAACTGATGATTCATGCAGTGGGGTTTGTCAATACTTCAAAGAAACATCCAGTTCAGATCCTGACTTAAATCCTCCACCATCGACATACATAGCGAATTCTGGTTCAAGAAATGTCGCATCTTCCAGTCCCATGTTTTGAGCATTTGGAGTACATACTACTCAATAGCAAATTAGCAATGTACTAGCAAAAAGATCCTCCGCGTGTACAAGATACTCGTTTTGGGTTCCCGAACAATGATGACTGAACTCCCACGGAGGAACATCTTGCTTATGAACCTGTCTTTGTTCACTGGAAGAGCCTTCTTCTTGCCTTTACCGGTCTTTGGCACCTGTAACACAAGTAAAAAATGTTCAAAAATGATTCATGAACACAGCAGTTTTCAAGCCAGGGAAACTGTACAAAAGCTAAGAGACCGTGTCCACACATCTCCCTAACATTCTCGAGAACCATGTTGCAACGCCGATCAAAGGCTCTCACGCGTACCTTCCTGTTGTTCCGGCAGTTGGTAAGAACCTAAGACATACTTATAATGCCCGAGCTAACATCACGATTTCATTTGAGGGATGCATATGAAAACAACCAAACTACGGTATTATTTCATCACATAAATAGAGTACAACAAGACAATTAAAAGAGATTTCAATTTATTGCATCATTTTTAGTACATACACCAATACACCATTCAGAGAATGTGTATTATACAGCTAAATTTATTAAAAAAAATACATCAGAAACATTTAACCAGCTATAAAACATAAATAAGGAGCAGTTGAAAAGCACTATCTGTGGTCAGCGGTATGCAACTTGGCACATGGCGCATAATATGTGATACATGAGAAACAAAGATATATATCAGTTAACTAACAATGGCATAGCAATCATATTAGTTGAAGGGTCTTAACACCCCAACTAAAGTTTATCTTAGTCAATTAGCTGGAGGGTCTAAACACCCCAGCTAAAGTTTAGCTGGGAGAACTTTTAGTTGGCTAAAGTTTACCTTTGGCCCCGTTCGCGTGCCCTTAAACCAGGCTTGAGCCACTTCTTTTTTCACCCGGAACAATGTTTTTCTCTTACAGATTCCTTCAGATTCATCCAGATTCCTCAAGCGAATGGGGCCTTTAAAGTTTTAGCTTGCTAAACTTTAGTTGGGTGGATCCAAACATGGCCTTATACGTGCACATTTATTGAAATTGAAAGCATCAAGATATCTAAGAGGAGGGGTTGAGAATTGGGGTAAACTAAAATTTTTAGCAATAATTAAGTCCTACACTTAGCCCATTTCACCCCGAGTGCCTAAATGTGTTCTCTATTGTTCTACCGCACAAAAGCTTTGCACTTTAGGTTCCAACCTACTTTAGCATGGCAATTCTAGAAATGTAAAGACATGAATTGAATTGCTTGAAAGTAAGTGTTCAAAGTAAAGAGAGAGAAATGAACATGGTGATGTTTTTCCGGGGTATCGGAGAGTGGCCACTCTCCATTAGTCCTCGTTGGAGCACCCGTGCAAGGGTGTAGCTCTCCCTTGGTCCACGCAAGGATCAAGTGCTCTCTACGGGCTGATTCTTTGACACTACGTCACGGTGAATCGCCCACAACCGCTCACAAGACGACTTGGGTCATCCACAATCACCACTGAATGATCATCGAGCTTCCAATCACCACTGAGCCGTCTAGATGATGACGACCACAAGGAGTAACAAGCATAAACTCTCAGTTGACCATGACAAGCCTAATAAGAAAGGTGGATGCATACTTGCTACTCCCTATGCACTAATGAGGTCCTTAATCTTAGATTATCAAATCTCAATCACCCCACTAGGCTCTTGTACTCCATTGAACCCCAAAGGTGTTTCTCAGCTGAGCAAATGAGCAAGAGAGTTGAATTGGACGAGTAGGAGATGTATTTATACACCCCACACACTAACATACCCGTTGGGGTCCAACTCAGCAAAATTTGTAGTGACCGGATTCGCCTGTCATAGTGACCGGACGTGTCCGGTCCTTTTTCAACGGCTACGTGACGTCAACTCTGACAGGAGACCGTTATAGTGACTGGACCCTAGGGGCGTCCGGTCATAAAAATCTCATTCTAGAACTCTTTGTTCCATGACCGGACTCGGGCGCATTAGAGTCCGGTCACTAATGTGACAGCGTCCGGTCCATCCAATTCACTGAAGTCCTACTGCTACAGTTGCAGCGGTGCGTCCAGTCGATCTTCCAAACCAGCATCCGATCGGTCTTCAACCCTAGCTGCACATGGGTTGCACTGACAGTACTCTGTGCGCTAGGGTCTGGTCGTTGCACCTTCAACATCCGGTCCTCCTATCACATCCCTAATAACTTCTAATTTGAAATCCTTTGTGAATGGGATCGACTTCAAATGATCTTTGGGCTAAACATAAGCTACCTAGTGCTAAGTTTGACAAGTGTGCACAACACCTAACACATTAGACTCACCTAGGACAAGCTACTAGTTTATACCCCCTTTAATAGTATAGTGTTGGCGGTCCTTAACTCCTATTTCTAACCGCCAACTCTCACATAAAATCTACACAAATGGCCATCAAACTTAGAATTAGGGCTTACAACTCACAAGTTCCACAAGTTTTGGTGATTATTCATTTGCAGGAGGACATGTCAGGATTACATAGGAAAAGAGCCTAAAGTATACAAGAAATGCAATATTATAGACATCTGACATGAGCCAAAGGGGATATAGCCCACTTACCAGCAGAATCAGTGCCCGAAGAAATGGAGAACAAGCCCAAAATCCAACCAAACCGACTCAACTCTACGCAACACCACCATGGGCCAACTCTAGGAGGTCACAGGAGGCAGCCCGACAAAGATGGGCCAAATTGGAGCATGCCATGGTGTGGCCGGTGGGGGTGCGTGGGTGCGGCCGCACCCCCACCGGCCCCGTTTGGCCCAGATCTTGGTCGGTTGGTGCTTACCGCCTTGCCCAACATCGGTGAGGTGGTGTCACCCAGATTCAACGTACCTGGAGGTCAGTTTGGTACCTTCCATGAGGGGAGCACTATGTAGAAAACCTTTTTTAGGGCGGCTAGTAACCCTCTGTAGGGGCGGTTTTGCCAGCCGCCCCTATGAAGGGGTGGCTACAAATCGATGATTTGTCGGGGTGGTTCCCAGACCGCCCCTACAAATCGATTTGTAGGGGCGGCTGGATATTGAGCCGCCCCTACAAATCAACTTCCAGAAATCATAAAAAAGGGGCAAAAATAATAACAATTTTTTTTAATCCGAGGATGTCTCCACCGGCAGCCACACACACCCTCACTCTACTGTTGCAGCATTTTTTCATGATTTTTGCACACTTTGCGTCGGCCGGGTTTCGAACCCGCGACCTCTCGCTCGCGCGTAAACTCCTCTACCACTGCACCTCACGATCACTTGTGTCTACATTCCATTTTGGTTCCCCACATATTATACAAAACTGAGCATAAATTGATTATTTGAGGCCCTAAACTAATTCAAATGAAAAAGTTGTCAACTACAAAGTTTTATAACTTTTTGAGATCTACAACTTTCATTTTGGTAGTTTCTCCATCCGAGGTCACTTATAAAATTTGAATTTCAAATTTAAGAAATTCGAATGTAGTTTTCCATGACAAGATGATTTCAAATGAGAAAGTTATCACTTACAAAGTTTCATAACTTTTCAAGATCTACTACTTTCATTTTTACTGTTTGTCCATCCGAAGTTGTTTAAAAAATTCAAATTTCAATTTTTTGGAAATTCAAGCGTAGTTTTCCTTGACAAGATGATTTCAAATCAAAAAGTTGTCAACTACAAAGTTTCATAACTTTTCGAGATCTACAACTTTCATTTTGATTGTTTCTCCATCCGAGGTCGTTTACAAAATTTGAATTTTAGTGCTTAATTTTTAATACTCGGCATCTATTTGTAGAGGCACTTCAATATTGAGCCGTCCCTACAAATCCGATTTGTAGGGGCAGCTAGATATAGAGCCGCCCCTACCAATTGGGCCATTTGTAGGGGCGGCTGATAACACCGGCCGCCCCTACAAATCCATTTGTAAGAGCAGCTTATTTGGCAACCATTTGTAGGGGCGGTTCAATATAGAGCCGCCCCTATAAAGAAAGGAAGGCGTTGCTACAAATCATTTTTGTAGTAGTGGAGGAAGCATTTTCCAAAGACCCCTCCTCTCCACCTATAAAAGGAGGCTCCCTCCTCTTCATTCAAACA